ACCACCACCCACCACCTGCCACCGTCACCCACCCACCGTCACCACTTTCCACTACCGTCTTCCGCCGCCACTTGCCACCACTTGTCACTTTTCAAATTTTTTTTTTATATTTTAATTTTTTTTTAAACATTTTGTCAATTACCAAACGCGTTTGTAGTTTATGTTTTTTTAAAAATAAACAAAAGCCAGTTTATAAAATTTTTATAAATATAAACTGAGAACGTAAACGTTATCAAACACACATTAAACAAGTTATGTGGTCAAATCAGTGTATAAAAGAAATAAACGATTGATAGAAATCTGATCCGATAAAATAACTATTAATATTTAATGAATATAATTTTTTATAACTTATAATACTTGATAAATTTTACATATTTAACTACTCTAATTATTAGAACGAAATTTATAATAAATTCTCACAAATCTAACAGCACATTCCAATTCGAAAGGTCTCTTTATTTAGGCTAAGTTTGACATATTATAAAAAAAATTAAAAAGTTAAAAAGTTACTACTCACGTCATCTTATTTAATTCACATCACATTTCTATCGTATCACTCCAAATCCAACTCATATTTGATAAAAAAAAAAAAGAACATCTCGAACATTTAAGTTTGGAAAATGCTAGAAGTGCCAAATTTTCTACCAAATAAATGATCAAATATCTCACATGAATGTGGGGCTCACAAAATTACAATGCAGACCCCACACTCATGTGAGACATTTGATCATTTATTTAATAAAAAATTTGATATCCTAGCATTGCTCTTTTAAGTTTCTTTTTTTTCTCTTATTTAAGAAAGATTCCTTTTTCTCTTTCGCACTTTCCCAAACGGACACCGCAAGCGAAAATGGTTATCATCGGATCGTAGCTGTGTTGCCCAGGAAACCCCATCTCCAAGGTCTCTCTCTCTCTTTTATGTATATCTATCTCTATGCTGATGATACACAATCTGATTCTAATTCGTTTGATTTCAATCTTGATTGTTTCGATTGATTTATCGATCTTTGATCTTTACCCAGAAATTCATTGCTATTGATGCTATGATTTCTTTTCTCTGCGGTATCACCATCTCTTATTTTGATCCATTCCCACAATTTTAGCATCACGATTTATAATTTTACATAGGTTAGTAGAAGATTTTTGGGGTTAATTTAAGGATTCAATTTAATGTGCTGTTGTGTAAATGTCTTACAAAATTTCACTTGACTAAGCAAAAAATACTAGGAAAACATGTAATTATATGCTTTTCTGTGTATATATATATATACTAGAAGTGGTGGTGATGAGTGGATTTTTCTTTTCGGGAGCAATTTTGATGTTTTAAATAAAGTGAGTAGAAAGAATAATGGTATATGCACCAATTAGTGTAAATTGTAATTTGTACAATGAGTGGGTCATAGTTTTGAAAAGGTAATGTTATAGCATATGTTGCTACACTAATTAATATACGAATTGGTACGTGAAACACCACCGGAACAGGAATTATCTAGTAGGTCAGGAACACTACCTGTTCATGTGCCTAACTAATGAAATATTACTCTTTATCCACTATCTCCTTAGGGCATGTATTCATTTAGTCCCTTTCTATTTGTTGGGCACATAACCATTGTGGAATTCCTAAAACATAGGTTAATTACTCCACTTCAAGGCTCCTCCTAATCATCCTGGGAGAATTTCAGATTAACATAAACACTTGTCTATCTATTTCATTAGACCAAGAAAGATACATATACACAATAGCAAACAGTTAAGGACTCTAATCAAACTACCTCCTACACCACCTCACCCACTTAGCCACTATTACACATACACTCCCACTTACCCTACAAAACTCACAACTCACAAAATACTAAAAATATTTTATAAAATTAATATCATACACGTGATGCATACGCCTATGACTATTTTGTTTCAAAAAAATAAGATTGTAAATTGTATGATTAAATTTAAAATCTGAAAATTGAAATGAATTTGGAAAAATCGAAAGTTCTGAATTTAGGGCATGTAATTGTTGTAGGGGTATTTTGGAAAAACCCAAAAACTGAAACCTCAATACCAACTCCAGCTTGCACTTTGTAATAATATAGATAGATAGGTAGATAGATAGATAGATATATTGTTGAAACGTTTATAAACTTTTTGAGCTATGGAAGTTTTTAGATGGTATCTGTCACGTCCAAAACATACTATCTCCGGTTTTTCTTTTCATTTTTTCCTTAGCCTCGCCTCCAGTGTTATCAATATTGTACGATACGCGATATGTATTGTATGATACGGCTCGTATCGGTGATACGTATCACATACTGTATCGCAGATAAACTAGTATCATTTGATACAAAAATAGTATTGTTCGATTCGACTTGTATCGCAATCTTCACGTATCGTCTGATACAAGAATTGAAATAAATGCAGCCTTCCTCCATGCTCATTGCAATGATTTTTCCAAAAAAAAAAGAGTGACCCATCTCCAAATCTGAGTTCCTAGTGTTGATTTGGGAATACCCATCACCAAATCTGAAAAAAGAGTGTCGATTTGGCTGTTGCATGATCACTTCTCTGCTCTTCTATGTTTGTGTGGTGTGTTCTTGTCGATCAAATACGAAGAGATACAGAACAGAGTGAGGGTAAAAGAATTTTTTTATCAGCTGTGGTCAATATATTGGCTGTTTGGAAACAAAGCTATAATAAATAGCTTCTTGGCCTCACTTGGTCTTTTAACCAAGATACACGATACATAAAATATATGTTAATGTATATTACAATACAAGATACGATACGATATGATACACAATACATAAAATTGGAACAACGATACACGATACGTATCATGATTCGACAACACTGTTTGCCTCTTAGTAAAACCTCTTAAAATTTTGGTGAAATGTAAATTAGTTTGGGTGCCTTGCTTGAGTTCAGCTTGTTTAGAACTTGAATGAGCCTCTAAGTCTAGGTCTGTTGAAAAGCCTTGCATGCATTACAACAACCTTTCTTCTTGGAGTCAAAATACATGCAAGGATAGATGTACTCAGTGTTAAATTCTCTAACATAAAATTAAATAAGCATTTTTATTATTAACAAGTCCTATTAGTTGATCTTTGTCAGATATTGAGTTACATCCCATTATTGGAATAAGTAAAGTTGGCTCAGTGTTCCATCTTAAAAATACCATTTTAATTAAAATGGAAAGAAGCTTTTACAGGGAATATCAAAATACTGTAATTCTACTTCTAGATAAGCCAACTTCTGAGAAGCTGTTAGTTTGAGTCCTTATTTTGTTCTTAAGTCTTCATCTTCTCAACATTCACCCAATTAAACTTTAAATTCCATCTTTAAGGACTTGAACTATATTAGGTGGGAATATGCACTGTTTGAAATCAGTTAGAGCCTACTTTGTGATTTTACCAAAAGGATTCAAACATCATAATGGGTGCACTTAGCATGGACTCGATTTGTGAGATCAAATTTTGATTTATAAGCACTCATGGATGAATTTTTCTCTCATTGAAATGCCTTCAGAACACTGTTCGCTATTAGTTGGAAAAGTGTGCTTGGGAGTTGCTGACCTTATTTTTGCTAGATTTTAGCTCCATGGATACCATATCGACCAGCTAGTGAAGTCTTTGAAGTACCCCACACGTGATTGCTGGTTGGAATCAAACTTGAGGAAAAAATTTGACTTAGGCCTCGTTTGGGAACCCTCCCTTTTTGCTAAAAAGGCAAAAAGTTACTAAATTAGCCAAAAAGCCAACAACCCATGCCAAAAAGTCAAAGATTCTCTTTTCTCTCTACTTTTTGCACATCTTTTCGTAAAAAGTCAAAAAATCATTCCAAACATACTAGTTTTTTTTAGCTCATATTTTAGCCAAAAAGCAAAAAGTTACTAAATTAGTTTGTTCCCAAACGAGGCCTTAGAATGCGTTGAGTAAATAGATGAAATTTTCTCTTGTAAAATAAGATGCATGAGGAAAGAAGGAGAATCCAAAGTTTGAGTTAGTGGTTAGAAGCAATTGTGAAATTTAACTGCTTTCAACAATTTGATATGTTAGAATGAATTGTGCTACGAGCATTGGTTATGCACATTATGGTTGCTATTTATGATTAATGATGCGTTATTTACTTATAATGATACTTTGTAAAGATAAATTTTTATGTCATTCTATAATATATATACACAGGTGGTTTTTAGTAGGATTTTTTTTTAGTGAGTGTTGTTTCAATGGAAACCTTTGTTTGGTTGATAAATGTTTTTCCAGTAAAAACTTATTGAATAGTCTCAGTGGTGCTGTAGTCATTCAGGGGGAAGTCCTTAATAATGGTGGTGGGGTGGAGGCAGTAGTGGTAACTGTCATTCCTAGTGTAGCCATTGGTGTTGGCAATTATGGTGGTGGATCTGCAGTTTTTGCAGTAGTAGTGACAGTTCTAATAGTGTTGAATTGTAGGGAATGCAGTAGGGTACTGGTGATGGCCATGACAGTGGATGTAGAGTGGTACAGTGACTGTCCCGTTTTCGTCATAGAGGTGGTGTTACTTGTTGGATAGAGGCAATGTGGTGTGTGATGAGAGTGGTTTTGATGCTAGTGGTGGTTCATGGTAAGTTGGTAAAAATAGCATTGCAGGGTTTGACTACCATTGGTAGTGGCCAAAATTGTGGTTGTGTTTATGGTTTCTGCTTTCCAACAATGTTAGGGGTTGTGGTGGTAATGATAGAATTGGTGGGCAGCAGAGTGGTTGCAACAGTGGGGTTGACATTAGGGGAGTAGTGTTGTAGTAATGGTGGGCTTTATTAATAGAGGCAATGATAGGTGGTGGTACTAGAGGTTGTGGTGATGGTGGGGCAGGAGCAATAGTGGTGACTGTGGTGGCATTGCTTGTGTATAGTGGTAGCAAGCAAGGTGGTAGAAGCTGGATTGTATTAGGGTGGCAAGTATGTTGGTGGAATTAATATGGATTAGTGTTTTAAAAGGCTCAAGGCATACCGAGGCGATAAGGTCTCCCATAGCCTAAGCACGAGGCGCGAGGCGAGGTGAGGCGCGTGTGCCTCACCAAAGCGAGGCGCAAGTAGTAGAAGAAAAGCAAGTAGCAAGAGGCGCAGCAAAAACAAAACAATAGAGTATGAATATAGACTCTTTCTTGCTTGCATAACAGAGAAGAAAAAAACAAAAGAGAAACAAAGAGAGAACCAAGACACCTTTCTTGCATGCATAATAGAGAAGAAAAAAACAGAGACAAAAGAGAAGAATAAGAGGAGAAAAATAAAAGCGAATAAAAAAAAGAAAAAAGAAAATAAAAAAGAGGTAGAAGAGAAGAAGAAAATAAGAAAAGAAGAAGAGAACCCAACGAAGAGAATCAGAGAAGAAGATGACCCATCAAAGAGAACCAGAGAAAAAGAGAACCATCGAAGAGAACCAGAGAAGGAGAAAAGAACCCGAAGAGCTGAAGTCAAAGTCGTGTCGTGTTGTCTTCACTTTCTGATCTTCTCCAACCACCTAGGGTTTTTTTTTTTTTAATCATTTTCTGCCCTCTTTGGACCACGTTTGGTTATTTTATATTGAAGAGTTTTGATTCCACGTGAGTATATGCACACAAAAAATCATTTAATCAACCATTGGAGTTGAAAAACAGGTAAAGCGCTGAAACCCATAGCTTTGAGCCTCGAAAAAAGGCATTGCCTCATTGCCTAAGCTACGCCTCACGTACGTCACGTCGCCTCGCCTCGCCTTGACCTGTTTGAAGCATAGCCTTGCACCTCATTACACCTTGAGCTTAGGTGCGCCCCTAAGTATGCCTTTTAAAACACTGATATGGATGGTCACGATATAGTGGTTTTGCACGATAGCTAGAGTAGCAGGTGAGGTGGGTGTGAGTTTTCAGAAGGGCTAATTTTATTAGTTTTATTATTGAAAATGTGTTTATATGTTGTTTGAAAAATTCGAATTGATTTGGCTGTATGCATTATCTTGGAGTAGTTCAATATACACTTGATTATACCGACCACAAAAATCACTATTGCAAGCAATAAAGTAAACCAAGCACACAAAGTAGAAGAGGTTAGTGATTTTTAATGTGGTGGAAAATTTAACTTGTGAAAACCATAAGACCAACCCAGGTTTGACTCAAACCAAAAACCAAAAACTGTTATCATTGCACAGTTACAACCAAAAAAAAAAAAACATACAAATCAATCTTTTGAATCCACAACTTTTAGACAGTTAGACATTGCGGTGTAGCCCAATGGTCTAGTAGGCACACCTTAGGATGTGGTGAGTGAGAGGTCAGGGGTTCGAGCTGATGGAGCAGTGGCGAACCTTTCAGTTGTAATCTAACTTTCCTGAATTTTTCAGGTATCTCACCACCTTCCGTTAAACCAGGAAAGATAGATTGATTGACTGGTTGTGCGGCAAAAGGATTAACCCAAGCAGATGACTCTGGGTAATCAGTGGGTGTTTGAAAGTCAGGTTCATAATCAGGGTTATATCCTAAAGGATATAGGACCTGATCAGCATCATCTTCACTATCAGCGGCTTCATCATTTTGGATGATTCGGAATTTGCAGGGGCTCAAAATTGAAATATGATTTTTTTTTTTTTTTGATCGGCAAAATTGAAATATGATAATTGAATGCACAGAGTGTGATTTGATCTTCAGCACAATAGCATAAAGCCTTAGTAATTTTTGGTGTCCACCTAGGCTTTCATATTTATAAGTGAATTCGAGACCAATTTGGCATGTTTTCCAAAGTCAGTACAAATAAGGAAACCCAAAATCATTGCCCTCCTCTCGAGCTGTCAAAATACTGCAAGTTTTTTGAGAATTCACTGCTTTGGCCCCTCAAAGGGTGTGGTGACATTTTTTTGGTTCATTCAGCTCCAACTTCATGTTCTTGTACCCTACTAGCTTTGATTGCTTGTACTCTCTGTTATCCGAATCTTACGATTCGCAATTTGATTCGCATTTTTTTGTAAAATTGATATGAATCTATGGGTGAATCTATTTTGGAAGTGAATCTCTAGTGAATTGCACGATTCACAATCGATTCACGATTCGATTCAATTTTTACAATTCATGCAATTCTTAAAACTATCATATCAGACATGTTTTTATTTCTTTTTTTTCTCCATCTTTTTAGCGAAAATGACATAATACAACTTCTAATGGCAATTAGTTCTTAAATAACCAATATATACATGATTTGTTATTATCTTAATAATTATGGAGTTTTTAATAGGATTCAATCATATTTAGTTGGACCCAATATGTTTTAACCACCTTCTCATTTTTTTTTTCCTTTAAAAAAATCATAAAATATCTTTTAATGATAATTAAGATTAAAGTAACTTATACCATAAATTATTTATTGCTATTTTATTAAATTAAATATAAGTAATGTTAGTTATATCTTTTAAAATGTTTCAGGCTTTAAAATAAAAGATCATAAATAAAATTTTCTTATTATTTAGTTATTGTTACTTGGAAAAGTATGTATGCTTAATGTCAAAATATCAATATCATTGTTAAACTATTATTTGTTTAGAAATTGAGAGTTTGTTAATTGAGAATGGTTGATAAGAAATAACTAAAAAAAGAAAAAGGTAAGATGATGATATTACATATGAACATTTGTTAACTTCTCACCTATTAAATTGCGTGATTATTATTCAAAACAACATTTTCATTGATTTAAGTCTAAATATTTCATAGTCATAATATATATTTAAAATTCAAGTGTGTAGATATATTTTTTTAAGTAATTTACAAAAAATGACTGAATCTTTACGATTCATGATTCGAATCCCTATTTGACAACTATGCTTGTACCCTCTTCTTTCTTGCACTCAAAAGTTGATGCCAAAAAACACTCCCATCTTTATTTCCAAATTTAACTTAACTTGGACTTATAAAACAATTACAACTTAAAGGATTGCCAACCTAATTTAGACTTCAGACACTGACATTCTCATTCTAATAATCCTTTGAAGTACCAAAGTCCTCATTATTGAAAAATGTGGTGAGCACTAATTATAGAATATAGGGGCTGTTTACAAATATTTGAAATGGATTAGCATGGGACACCTAGTATTTATCTAGTTCATAAAAAAGCTGACATACTGTTGGTTGATTAAATGTGAGGGAGGTTTCTCGTTTTCTAGTTGGAATTAAACTGAGTGATGCTAGTCTGCAAATACCGAACTTCTCACAATTAAAATGTGGTCAAGCTTATCTTTAGCTGGCCAGCTATGGGGGCTTCCTCATACATCCTCTTCCAGCTATTTCATGAGTTTTGCATTGGACTTGGGTGCAAATAACCGGAATGCATTTGTTGTTTCTGTAGATCTTTCTTGTCATTTTTTTCGTAGCTCAGTTCCTTCTGCAAAATTTTATCACGCTCTTACTTTCTTGTTGATGTGGTACCTTTTAAAATGCTTCATCGATTTTCTGTGTGCTTCAAATCAGTAATAAACTTGTAATTACTGACAATATTATCACTGTCTTGGCTTTGAATCAGTAAATAGGTGCATGGATTATTCACATGTTTGAAGTAACACAATCAAATTATTTGGGGTTAAGGGTCGTTGAAATTAAATATACAAGTGTGAGGCAAATTTTAAAGTATTCAATTTGTGTATTACTGGTATATGAATGAGTTGCGAATGGTTTTTGATCTTTATATTGATGCCTGTCGTTCCCAAAACCCATCTCCTTTTATTTCTGTAACAGACTACTTCTGAGGGTTCATTGGTAAGAAATTAAGTTGTTTGAGGTGGAACTTTAAGATCCTTTTCCAATGGTGGACTCGAACCGAAGAAGCTCAGCAAATTGTGATGGTCAGGTAACCAAGGGAGCAGTTGATTTTCCAAAGGAGATAATCTCCGATATTTTGTCTAGACTTCCAATAGAGTCGATCTTCACATGCAAAATTGTTTGCAAGACATGGTGCGACATAATTCGAGATTCTTATTTTGTCAATAAACTCTGTAATTCCCATTACCATCCAACCCGACTCATTCTCAAACCGCTGCGTGGGAGAGTCACTAGTGATACTTCAAGTCATCTTCTGTTAGTGGACATTGAAGAACAAAAAACTAGGCGCATCCCTGTTGATAAAATGCTCTTGGGCCTTCGGATCATGTGCATCTGTAATGGTTTGCTTTGCTTGGCTTTGGGTAATAAGATAGATCCCGTGGTTATCTACAATCCTATAACAAGAGAGCATGTGGTTTTACCGTCCCCGGGCTCAAAACCTACATTATGCAATCATAAGGTCGGTTTAGGCTTCGATCCCTCAAGCGGAAAGTACAAAGTTGTCCAGGCATACACTTTGTACAGTAATAACGGTAAAATGACGAGGTTTGAGATTATTTCACTTGGGGAAAGTTCATGGAGAGAGCTGAATGCCCCTCAAGGCATGCTTGATTTGGCGGTATTGGGGGTGGTGTTCTGGAATGGGGCCCTTTACTGGAAAATGATAGATGGTATTGACATTGACATTGTTGAATTCAATTTAAGCGATGAGAAGTTTCATGCTATCACTTTTCCGGAGAATTTTTCCCATTTCCAACCTCAAGCTCCTCTGCAGTTGATGGATTCGGGGGGCTTTTTAACTATAGTAGAACGTTCTTCTGGACAGATAAAATTGTGGAGATTAATGAGAAACAAGATTGGAGAAGACGCATCTGTCTCTCTTCAACAGACCTATGATACGCACGTGAATTGGGGTAATGCTGTGTACTATGAAATAATTGGTGATTCAACCCACAACAGTTATTTGTTGAAGGTGGGATTTAGGAACAGCCAATGCGAACGCTGTGAACACCTGACTCAGTTTTTTCCCCAGAAGAGACAGTACTCGCATCTTGACATCCCCAGCCTTCCAGATCGCTTCTACACTGTCTGTTTCAAACCGAGCCTTGTCTCTCCAATTGCAGCTTCACTCCGTTCCAATTGACTTGTAAATCTGTGATGCTGGTCCTACATTCTCTTTCCTTTAGTGATGGTGTGTTTTGCATTTTTGTTGTTGTTGTTGTTGTTTTTTTTTTTTTTAATTCTGTTTTTATAATTGTTATTAAATAGTAATAAACTAGATTGTACAAATAGAATGGTTTGTTGTGGATCCATTTTTGTTGTCTGTTAATTTTTTATGTTTTTATCTTCTTTTAGAACTCTTTTCCTTACGGATAATCTAGAAAGCAGAGTTTTTCTTTCTTTTGCTGTGATTGTACGATGGCACAATTACGCTCTTCAGTTTTCAATTAATGGCTTCTTTGTTGAAACTTGCTACAGGGCTCTTAATGGGCCAATTTTGTCATTATTTTCTTTATTAATTTACTGAAATTATCATCCTTTGTTTTATGGGTTAATTACGGGTCTTATTCGACTTAAATACCTATAGGTCTTATGTATTTTTTAGTGTATCAATTGATGATGTGACATAATTTAAGAGATTTTTGATATTTTCAATTTATATAATGAGTGGGGTCAATAATTAGTGTTGGTACACTGGTTAATATATCAATTAGCATATGGCGTTATCTGGGAAGGAGGTTTTTTGAATTTTTTTTGGTTTTTTTTTTCATTAAAAGACAAATTGGTTACAAAATTAAAAAAAAACAAATCAAAACAAAATATCACATCAAACTCTATAATCATTTTAATTTTTCTCTTATGAATATCACATCTAACCACAAAAAAATTCAACTATCTTTTCAAATATAAAAAAAAAATTCTTCAATAATATTCTACAACTAAAAAAATTTACAAAAAAATTCACTTCCCAAACACTCACTATGTAATACCATCGATTTTTTAAATGCATCATTAAGTCTTTTAAATTATATATATTACCCTTATTAATTTATTTTTTGGGTAAGTAAAATTATTAATTGATTACTCATTAATTTTCTATTTTTTTCAATCAATTCTCCAAGGAGCTTTGCCGCTTTCTCCTCCTCCTCCTCTACACCATTTCTCTAAAGAGCTTCAAACTATTACTGTTTACTGTCACCATTGTCAAATCACCGCTGTCGCCATGGCTGTTCATTTGCCACTGCCACATTTGCAGACCATTGCCACCACCATCGTTCACCAACCATCTCTACAGTTGTCGATTTATACTCCACCATTTCTGATCCACCACAATTGTTCCCTAACCACCTTTGTCGTCATCGATACACTCCACAATCTCTGATCTATACTCTGCTGTCACGAATCCATCACCATTGTTCACTAACCACATCACCCATCACTAAGACATTTTAGGATACAATTTCCTTCATTAATCTCCATTGTATATGGTGATTTCAATAGAGCTAACGAGATCCTTATGGGACTCTGTATTGGTTACACTTCAACGATTCAATCTGTTTATTTTTTGTCTCTTTATAGATCATTCATTAAAAAATCAGATTGGTTTAATAATTATAGTTATATGATTTCATTATATTTGTTTTAAAAAATAAATGATTTTTTGATTAGTTTAATTTTTTCATCATAAACTCACAGTTTTATATAGGTCTCATATGAGAAGAGGTTATTTTTTTAACTTTTTGACTATTTTAGTTTTTGTGTTTGATAGGATGGGTTAAATTTTTTGTTTGATTGTTATATTGAAAAATATGTTTGAAATGATGTTGAAATAAAAAATGACAAAATTATCCTTAATGATTGATTCGTGCGGCTTTCAAAAACTCTCAAGGGTAAAATTGTCTTTTCGCTTATTTATGGGGTAGCTCTGCCACAGTCACGTCACGTGGACCTGCTGCACTTCTTTTTGTTTGCATATTTTTGTTTGCTTTTTTTCTTCTTTTGGGCTATTTTTACTCTTCAATCCACGTACTAAACACCTCCATTATTTATTCATATGCTTCACAAAATAATTATAAAAATGGTACTTTTTTAATTTTTTTTTATGAAGGGCTTATTAATTATGCTCAACCCCTCAATTATCACTAAATATTGTTTTATTATTCTTTTAATTTTAAAATCATATATTTAGACCTACCAATTATATAATTTTTTTATTTAATTTTATAGAAATACTCATTTTTTGAAGAGGTAAAGGTAAAACAATTTTGATAATTGAGACATCCAAATATACATTTTCACCTTTCAACTATACATTGAAAGCTATCAAAGTTGGAGAAACTTTTGATTGTTTACCCAAGGAAAAAACGAAAAAAGAGGACCGCTATTTTTCTAGAATGAATTTCACTTATTTTTCATCTCCGACAACAATGTCAACTATTTATTTATTTTTAAATGTGATGATATTAATATGTGCACATGACCGATGAGAGAGTCAATATGCTTAAGGAAACATTAATGAAACCTAGTGAAATTTAAAACAATTCAACCGATTTCAATTTTTATTTGGTGATAGAGCAACTAAAGATTAACATGATATTGATGACTATCAAAATTAAATATGCATTTAGGTCTTTACTTAAAAAAAAAAAGGACATAATTACACTAAAATACATGAAAAAAGAGTGAGGGAGAGAGAGAGAGAGTAGAGAAAAAAATGAAAAAAGAGTGAGGGGGAGAGAGTAGAGAAAGAAATGAGACAGAACAAAATGTAATAATGTGAAATTTATAAGAGTTTGTTTTGGTAAAATTAAACATTTAAATTGACAAAAAAATGTATGGATATTGTTGGGGAAAAAAGAAAAGAAAAGAAGATAGATTGCAAGTTTGATATAATTACATTAATTTCCCATTTAGTAAGATTAAAGTTATCAAAACTATTGCAGATAGTGGGTAAACACAAATAAATAAAGGTAAATGTACATTTTAGTAGAAAATACACGACAACATGATTCATAAATTATTGATGAAAAAAAATTTAGGTGTATATCCTTGAGGAAGATTGATATAACTATATAAAATTGTTAACTTTATTATATATATTTTTAAATCTCAAGAGATGTGAGTGTAGTTTTTCTTATTTTTAATTAGAAGTAAAAGTACAAATTTTTAAAAAATTTGTCTGAATAATGAAAAAAAAGAGAGGTGAATTTTGGCACAAATATCAATTTTCAAAATAGAAAGATAAATGTAATAAAAAAAGATAAATTACAAATACATTTTTTGAGATTTGTTTAAAATATGAATTGTCTCATGTGGTTTGAAAAATCACAAATATCCCATTATTAATTTTTTTTATTTAACTGAATTAACTAAAAAAAATAAAATTTTGAATTCCCTATATAATAATAAAATTATTTAATTGAAATACATTTTTGACATCATTAAAAATTATTAATTAACTTGATAATTTATTAATAAAAAGGGTTACTCTTTTTGTTTGTTTTACAAGAAAATCCTTTCACTATCCTGCAGGTCAAGGAAGCGCCATTTGCAGAGATTACCAAGGTATCCTGTTGTTCGTTCCGAGTTAGGAGACTATAACCTAGGAGTTTGCCCGACCTCCTAAGGCAAGTTCCGCTTAAGTCAGAATTACTGTATCGAGAAAGCATTGAATCCACACTAAGCGCTATGATAACAACAACTTGAGGCTAGCCTTTCAACTTATTGCGCTACACTCAGGAGATTGGCTCAAGGAGTGTTCAACTTGAGACTTGGGATCTTAACCCTAGACCTTTACCAAGTTGCCACACCCTTGAGTTATAAAAAAGATTATTCGTTATGAAATTACAATGAATTTGTATTTTAAGGGGTGCTTAAAAAAAAAATAGTAAATCACAATGACTCCTTTCGAGATTTACATCTAATATAGATTTTTACCTCACATTTAAAAAATCACATTGACCTTCTTTTTAACATTTGTCTCTTCATAGAACTAACAAGAAATATATAATGACCTCATTACCATCCCCCCTCTCCACCCCCACACACACAAAGATACTAGTTTATAATATTATCCTTTCACTTTCCCTTCTCTCATCCTCTTTTCTTTTAACCCCACCATGGCTTTGATATCAAATCCCATCTCTTTCCCAAACAACCTTTGATATCAAATCCCATCTCTTTCCCAAATAACCTTTGATATCTTTCATTCCTAAATTAAGTCTCAATAAAAAAATATATATACATAAATATATATGTAAAAATTATATGTCTGCTTCACTTTTTCTTTGTGGCAGTGGTGGTAATGGTGCGATAATGAAAGGAATGAAGAGGGAAGAGGAGGTGGTAAATCTTAGATGGTTTCCTTTCATACAAAGAAGGAAAGAAAAGAAACATGGTAAGAGAAGAAAAATAAAATAAGGTAAAATATTTCTATTTAAAACTTTTTTAGGGTAAATTACAAATACACCTACTGAGATTTATTTAAAATACGAATTGCCCCTTGTGGTTTGAAAAATTACAAATATCTCTCTATCAGAATTTTTTATTTAACATAATTAATTGAAAGGGTAAAATTTTAACTATTCACATATATAATAATAAAATTATCTAAATTATTAATTGAAATAAAATTTTAACATTATTAAAACTGTTAATTAATTTGATAATTTATTAATAAAATGACCTATTTACTATGAAATTAGAAATTTTAAGAAGTATAATGTAATTTTTAAAACCACAAAGATAATTTGTAATTTAAGTAAAGTTCAGGAGGTGTGTTTATAATTTACTTTTAAAAAAAAAAAAACAAAACAAAACAAAAACAAAAACAAAGTTTATGGGCCCCAATTCAAAGACATGCACTCCACATAAACTTTTTTTTTTTTTTTTATCGGCAAACAAAAGAAATTTATATATATATATGAAAACACCATTACATAAGAAACATCCAGCATAGCTAGCTGAAACCAAACAGAAGGTGGCATCAAAAAGCTAACCCAACACCCACTAACAATATACCAGTTGGTGAGAGACCAACTAGAGGAGCCACATCATACTAACCAAAATCAGTATAACATAGAGTACCTCACACCACCACCCAAGGCCAGAGAACACAACCAAACAGGGGACAAGAAGAAATACACAGAAATACACGGAAAATCAATAGATCAGTAGCAGAAGTACTCAGAAAACACACAGGCAGCAATACCCCAGCAGCAGAATACCCCAGCAGCAGAAATACACAGAAATACACGGAAAATCAGTAAATCAGTAACAGAATACCCCAGCAGCAAATCAGTAAAAGAAAACACAGGCCAAGATCAGTATAAGAGGTAAGGCTAATAACATTCCAGCAGCTGCACACAGCTTCAACCTATCCCTCTTCTACAAAAACTAATTTGTTATAAGTTAAACAAGAAATCAGTAATAGAGAAAGGCAGCTTCGGGTCAGCCGATTTTTAATCTCAGTGGTATATCGGCCTGTATCCGTCGCGGCACCCCATTTTTCCGATACGTATCGGCCGATATTTAGAACTATGGGCGGGATGCAATTTCTCAAACCTTAGGAGGGAATCTGTATTTTCACCACACCTCGAGGGGGGTGTTTGTAATTTGCGCAAAAATAAAAGAGGTCACAAAGTAAAAATAGAGGTCTCAGAAGCAAAAATGGCGGATCATCATCATCGGGTTTCCTTAGCCAAGAAGAGAGGGCTGGGTCCCAAATTCTAGGGTACGCACGACTTTGATTCTTTTCACTCTCATACACTACACTTATATATATATATATATATATGCATGCATATCCATACACAATCTAATCACACATCTGATTGCAATTTTGGACTCATGAATTGGGTATTTAGTTCTCTTCTTAATCAGGAGGAGGGTTCATATCTTGGGTCTTTGATTTGATCAAAAATTTCATTTCCATATGTTATTTTGATTCATATCTTGGGTTTCTTTTATAAAAAAAAAAGTAAAAATCTAAAAGCCATAAAAAGATGTATTGTTGAGCATAAATTGACTTGATTGAGCAGTGGAAGATGTTAGGAAAAATGTATGCTTTTAGTTGAATTCGATGTTTATAAATGCTAAAAACAACGCATAGGGTTGTTGTTAATGTTGGGAAAATATGTAAATAAAAAGTGTATTAAAATGTGTAAAAAGCGTAGGGGGTAGTGTGGATACTGATAAATACCGGACTTTAACCACTTAACATGTTGCCCTAATTTTCTGTGTATTTATAGTTGAGGGATAGACAACTATCTTTTGTATCTTGTAATCTTCTGAACATAGTAAAAACCACAACAACTGTGGATGTAGCCCTAGTTTTGTGTGAACTACGTACACTCTTGTGTTCTTTGTGTGTGCTTGTTTTTGTTTCTTGTTCCTCTTTGTGTTCTTGTCTTACAGATCTTCAATTCCTAACAAAAAGCATATAGAAATATGTGGAAGTGTATGAGATTATAAAATTTTTGGCATTAAGCATGACCCTTGTTATAGTGGCATTTCAAGTAAATCTTGAGTGGGGTCAAACGTTAAAGTATCTATTTTTAAGATCAAGGTTGGGCTAGTGGGTGAGGTGGTCTATTACCTAACTAGGGTTCGAGCCTTACCGTTGCGCTATGCAACTTTCCTGGTTTCCCTTCTAACGATTGTTTAAAAAAAAAAAAGTACCTACTTTATATATGTATTTTTCAATTTTGTTGAAATAGAACATACCCTTTTGAATCACATGAGCTTTTGGGTGGTATCTATGTTATTGGGAAAATAACATACTCCTATTTTCTCCTCCATTTTGACCCTACTTGCTTCGTTTGTGGTTGAAATGTGATTCGGGTACCTTGGCAAGTTTGGCTTGTTTAAAACTTGAATTAATTTCTGTGTCTCATTTCGTTGAACAACCTCGTGTGCTACCTCCTAGATGGAGTCGAAGATGAAATATGCTTGAAGATAGTTGCAGACTCAGTTTCATTTATGAACCTAAAATTGAAAAGCTTTTCCTTTCAAGGAAACTTTTTTTTGATTTGTAATGACCAAAGAAAATTGAACTTTCAAAAATTATATTGGAAGCCAAGATGACTTAGAATAAGTATAATAAAGTCCCTAGAGTTTTCTTTTTACAATAATTCGTGTGCGATCGGTCGTCCCAGTTTGTGTGCACCAATTTCGGAGCCAACCCGAGATTTGAGAGATAGACTCTCCAGACTTGGGATGTTTTAATATTCATAGGATATATTTTAATAATTTAGAGTCATTTTAATTATTGAGAATTGTAATGCATCAATCGCCTTTGTTGTGTGCATTCGGGCCCGATTCGGTTCGAGATTTGGGTGATGGAGTCCCCAGGCCTGATATATATTAGGGCAAAATTCACTTTACCCCCGTGTGGTTTGGGCCGGGTACGATTTACCCCCCTGACATGCGGAAATCACCACATAACTCTCATATAGTTTGTGGACTAAAATGTACACTAACTTCTGTTAACAGAACGTATAAATTTACCTTTATGCCCCTGTCTTCTTCCTCTTCTCTCTTTTAAATTGAACCTGCAAATATACAAATACTAGTATATGCCCGTGCCTTTAGGCACGGTGTAAATAATATTAAGATTAAAATGTAGTTGTAATTTGTACGTATCATATTAAAATTTGTAGAGTCTGTAGCACCTGATAAAAGTTCAAATCAACACTCCTACCATTAGTTTGTGGCTAACACCTAATACACTGGTGAGTGTCATAGTACCCCGAACCACAAATATCTTATTGAAATAATATAATACACAGAACATAAATACCATGATCTCGCAAATAGTAGTCTTTAGAAATTGTTTACAAATTAAGATATGGAAATCAAATATTTTGAAATAATTTTCCAATCAAGATACAGAAAGTATTGAAAAACTAAATGCATCGTATCATGAAGAAGAAATCAACTCTATGCCATAGCATCCCAACAATATAGCAATACATTTTTCATAAAACTGCTTATGAAAAACCACTTAAATGGTAAAAAAAATAATTCAACAAAAATATTTGAAATGCAACAAAGTCCACATAGGTGGAAAGCTTTATAAAAAGTGGATCATAGTTATCGTCTGCTTTACAAAATGTGTATACTTTACAAAAATCAAACACATATTTTTGTAGTGGGTCATAGCTAATGTCTTCAAATTTGTTCTTTCCCACAATTCTTAAGAATGCCTCATCAATTTCCGAAAGGTCTTCATAACAAAACTTCAGGGTAAACAATATTTGTAGTGGAATCTGGCTCATCATTAAGGAGGAGGATACTTATACGATTGAAAGATGTGCATCTAGATAATGCTACGTATAGTTGCCCATGACTAAAAACAGGTGTACGCAAATCAACCCCAACAAATTTCACAGATTGTCCTTGAGATTTATTAATGGTCAAGGCGTATGCCAATCCAACTGGAAATTGACGTCTTGTCATTCGGAAAGGCATTTCTGTAGAAGACGGAGTCAATGATATCCTTGGTATAAATGCCAAATTGCCAAACTTCTCTCCAGTTAAGATTCGAGCTTCAATTATGTGAGTGTTGCACCTTGATACCATCAATCTTGTGCCATTACACAGTCCATCTTTCGGTGCAATGTTTCTTAATAACATTATAGGACAACCCACTTTCAACTCTACCTTAAAAGCTAGTAGCCCAAAAGGATCCAATGAATTTAAAAACTCATTAGGATATCTGTTTGTAATGGAAGGATCAATTTCATCATCTTCAGCCATCTTATCTGCAGCAAGATACGTATATGTATTCCTTGGAAAAATATTCAACGCAGCAATATTGATAGCATTGACATCATCATTTCGTGCACAAAGAATTGTACGTTCCGTTAAGAATGATGGGGTTGATATATTTGCCACATCCAATTGTGGATAAACTGCTGAGAGTAATTCCTTTAGATCCTGGCATTTGTGTATTGTTGATTGAATTTTAATGATTTCTTGCGGATCGGTTTCAACCTAATAAATAAAATAAAAGAAATTAAAAAAAATGGTGTAATCAAAGTATCCTCAAATGGTATAATCAAAGTTCGAATGAGTATTACCTCTGTCAAGAATTTTGCAAAAAAAACATTTCCAAGGTTTGCATGATTCAAGCGCATATTCAAATCTAAAGATAAAACATGTAGATCCTTCCACAAAACAGAGTGTCTCAATGATGCATTCATAATTTGCTCACGAACTCCTTTGGTTATAACTGGTAAGATTTGTCGAAAGTTTCCACCAAGAACAATAGTGATACCCCTAAATGGCTTTTCACAATCACAAATATCTCGAAGTGTGCGATCAACCGTCTCAACATAATGTCTATGTTGCATAGGAACTTCATCCCAAATTATGAGTTTTGTTTATCTAAACAATGCAACCTATAATGATTGCTTGCTAAACCCACAAACTGAATATTCCAAGATATCCAATGAAATGGAAAATGTTGAATGTGCAGTGCGACCTACTACTAATAGCAATGATGCAATTCCAGATGAAGCCACAGTAACAAGAATATAGCCAAGGCTGCGACATTTTAATGCAATCGTATTGTACAAAAATATTTTTCCCATTCCGGCACCCCCATTCAAAAAGAAAATAGTCCCTTTACTTTCAAAGACTGAAGAAATGATTGCGTTATAAGCAGTTTGTTGTCCATTATTGAGGCGATTAATAGTAATTTGCACATCTGTCTGTTGTGCCTCATTCTGTAATTGTTGATATTCTAATATCAATCGGTTACCAACTATTGCACTCTAATTTGCTGTAGGCTGTGGCATGGGCGGGAAGTCAATTAAAGTCTTTCTTGATTCTTGAAGCATTTGATTCAAAAGATACAAACCATAATCTTCAATTTGAGCCTCAGTTGGGTTAGAAATGACAAACAATGTGCGAGGCTTATGTGCAAGATCATCACAGATATGCATTGAAAACTGATTCCATAACGCACGTGGTTGTAGTGGAAAACATTGGGTCAGAATGATACAAAACGATCTCCTCAATTGATATCCGATTTTCATAACTGCAGCCTCTTTCAGGCACTGTATCCATTCTTCATCATCTTCTAAGAGTCCTCTTGCAACACATGCTGATTTAAACGTCTCATGCAAAACATTGTTAACTGTACGTAAACATTGAAACAATCTTGGCTCTTTGACAACAGTTAACAACAAACGCAAATAAAAACTTTCACCACAGTTAGGGCTAGCAAAGTACATTCTACTAATTTCATATCCATGTTCTCTTGGTTTCCATCTATGTTCTGACTTGAGCCAAACAAAATGTTGCGGAAATTCTTGGTAAGTGAATTGGCATTCATTTTCATTGGAAGCACAATAATAAAAAAAACCAGTAAAAGTCGATTTTTGTTTCGTAGCTCTAGAAAGAATAATTTCCAATGAGTCATTAGGATTGAAAAGAACACGATGCATTCCAGGTAGATGAAGTGCGAAGCGAACAATTGTTGGCATCTCTACATGCAAATGATGACCGAATATTCGCCAAGCAGCTTCTGGTGGTTCAATATACCTCGCATCAAGATATTGTTGGATCTCATTAATCAATCTCAAAACCATTGTTGTGCGATCATAACCCTTGTAAATATACTTATGTATATACTTAACACATCTCACTCCAGCACAAACTTCTATATTTATATGACAGTTGAATCGTTTAGAAAGATATGCATTGTATGGTACCACATCCTTGTTAGCAACTTCCTGTCCTCTCACAGTATATACTTGACCACTATTGCGATGACGATAGATTGAATATCCATCTTGGTCCATAGTTGTTGATTTTGCAAAGGCTTGAGGGTATTTCTTAGTACATCTACCATTTTCCATACATGGTGCTTGGGGATTTCGAGCACCACATGGTCCATGTACCATGCAACACTTGATAGTTTCAAAAAGTGTAGGATTATCTTTTGGATCTGGAAATTCTGCACAAACTAATTTGTCTACTTGAGCACATGTTCGAATTTTGTTTGGACCTTTAAGAAAGAGAAGCGCATGCATATGTGGTAGGCCTTGTTTTTGGAATTCAATTGTAAAAACATGTCCAACTTTATTACTGAACACTTTGTTTGTTTCTATCCCCTTCATCAAACACTTTCTTTTTAGCTCAAAAACATGGGCAATCAAATCAGGATGATCAATAGCTTTTTGGTGTGGTAATAATGCTGAAGTAATTTCTAGCCAATTGGGATTTGCAATCATGGTGAGAAAAATATGTGGGTGCTGGTTGTATCGCGTGATAGCCATTGAATCTTGAAAGATTTCAAACATATGTCTAGGACTACCAGTAAATGAAGATGGAAAAATAAACCTTTGACCAATTTGATTAGGTCGCAAGTCATTTGGATCAATATCGCTTAAATCTTGGTAAAGTTCAGCTCGGTTTTTATTTATTTATTAAGCTTGTAGTACGTCAACCGATTTTGCTCAGTTGCAGCCCAAGCATCTACCAAAAACTCTTGGAATAGTTTTCCACCTCTCAAAATTGGTGAATACCCTGTAGGTCGCTCAAACAAACGATAACTATAAAAATCCATTTGAGTAAGTCGATCAGTTGAAGGCCGATCATGTTTAACGTCCCACAATTTCAACTCAGGTTCCCATCCGAGCTCACCATACAAGAATAATAAAACATAATGCAATGGCAAATATGCTGGGTGACATTCATTAATTTGCATCAATTCATTATTTCCCTGTAGATGTAAAATAACATCTCTTATTCCAGTAACCTCGGTTCCATCACCTAGTATTACAATTGTAATCTCATCAGCAGTTGGTAGGTTATACCGTCGTTGGTCTGTTGCTAAACTGTAGTGAAGATGAGCAGGTAGATTTTGTCCAGTGAAGGCTAATTGATTCAAAATTGCATGAGCCTGGCGAAATTTGTCTACAAATGCATTAACTTGCAACAAATTATCTTGAATAGTTTTGAGATCATCCCTTCGTAAGTGAGGATTTCTACGATTTCGAACTTCTAAAGCTGAATTAGGATCATAAATGTACAAATGAGCATAAGTCGCATCCTGACCTGGCTGTAGTAGAAGTGATCCTGTTCGATGTCGCAATTCCCTATGGATAATTAATGGTTTAGGACCGCTTCCCCTTAGTACTCTTGGATCCAATGTAGCACCAAGACTTGTAAAAGCATTGGCTGCATTGTATACTCGAGTATAACGTCGAAACGATCTTGCTTGATCATCATCCCCATCATATAATGCTTGAAGTGGTCGAGGGGGTGTCATAAGCAGAGGTAGCCTAGTCTTTCCTTTTGGACAGCAAGTTCCAAATAGAGGACACTTTCGAGATGATTGTGCTAATTTTTCGTCTATCCAATGTAAGGCTGAACAGTAAGGACATAACACATCCATCTTGCCGAGAGAATGACGACATGCATTCATGTGTGATTGAGTATTAATCGCAGTACTTATAGTCATATCTTCTAATTCATCATCTGTACATATATTGTCTTGAAGAAATGTGACTGTAGAATTAGGCTTACAAATATTTGTTGTGCATAAATTAAAATTTATACACATGTAAAAGTAAGAGTATTATTTAAAGAATTAAACATGTTTTACCAGTTCCGAGCTAAAGATGTACTTTCCATAGAGAACGAACATGTGGATGCATGGGTAACCATTGTTCGTTTTTGTGCCAACGAAGTATCCGCAAGTGTCTTTGTACCCTATTCTAGGCAAGTGTGATTGCGACGACTCGGTGTTAATGAAGAAAAGTCTTTAACATATGCTCCTAATCTCTCTCGTTCTTGTTGCAAGCGTTGTCCCGATTGATATGCAGAGCATGCATTTTCATTTCTTTCACGTTCTCGTCATGCACGTTGAGCTAATACAGCTCTTGACATAACATAACCATTGGGTCCCCAAAATATGAATATTAAATCATTGGATGCCTAAAATGCAAATATTATCAAGTACCATTTTCCACTGTCCAAAGAAAATACCATTTTCTATTTTTATATCCCCTCTTCCAAAAACATGCATAATACTCTTTTGCCATGACTACCCATAGTTTTATAATAATAATAATAATAATAATAAAAAAAAAAAAATAAATTATGTGGTTTTGTTATACTAATGAACAAATGTTCGACCAACTTATGAGAATAATAAACGTTCGACCAACAGATTGTGTGGTTTTGTAACAGTAATGAACAAATGTTCGATCAGCAGATGGGCTTCATAAAGTATCCCCATTTTCTTGTAGGGCCCATGCACTTACAGGAGACACTATATATTCCTTTCTCACTATATATTCCTTCATAAAGTATCCCCTATATATTTCTTGCTTCCTAAGAATATACAGCAGGCACTAAAAAATGTGCATAGTTTCAAAAATAAAATACAATTATGGCTAAATAAAATACAATATATGAAGATACAAAAATAAAAAATAAAAAACTCTACAAAAATCAATAACAACCATACCGCTAAACATGCATTTTTCTTTCGCTTGCCCTTGCAATCAGTCACCTTTGTCATTTATAATCTATATAATAAATTGTGTAGTTTTGTTGTACAAACAAACAAATGTTCAGCCAACTTATAAACTTCATAAAGTATCCCCATTCACGTAGCTGGAAAAAAAAAATTGTTGCCCATTTGCTCCCTCCTCTCTTTATCTCTTTATCTCAAAATTTTCGCGCACTTACATTGAAAAGTGGTGCAGATTTCCACATATATACAGGAGACACTTAAAAAAGTGCACAGTTTAAAAGATAAAAATACAATTATGGTTTAAAATAAACAATTGGACATACATGTTCAAAAACACTCTACAATTATGGCTTAAAATAAACAATTGTTTATTGTTTAAAATAAACAATTCGACATACAATTATGGCTTAAAATACAAACATACGAAAACTAACAACTTAAAAAAAAAAAAAAACACTCTACAAAAACCAGTAAGAACTATACCGCTGGACATGCATTTTCCTTTCCTTTGCCCTTGGAAGCATAAGACACCTTTTCTTTTCCCTTTGACATTGCCTTTGCATTTTCCTTTTCCATTGCCTTTAAAAAATAACCAAAGTCTAAGAAATAATCAAAGTATAAGAAATAAAAATAAAAATAAAATGATAAGAAAATGATTTTTGGGCTGACATTAGAAATACGAACAACATTAAAATCATGCTCATCACGAATCACTACACTGACATTTCTTTGTTGAAGAAACTGAACCTATACATACAAAAACAAATAAGTAGCTGACATGTACACAAAATGAAATTTTATAAGACGATGAGTAAATGGAATGAATATTACAGTTCGTTGTAAGTCTCCATCTAGCTGTAAAAAATGAGAAATTTTTTTTTTTTAATTTTTATAATCAGAACCTATAGTACAAAAGTTTTTTTAAAATCTATGTACCAATTTTTTTTAAAAAGACAACTTACATTATCCATAATGTTAGAGGTCGTTCCAGCTTAGTATTGCCAAAACCTATAATACAAAAGTTGACTTCAGTAAATACATATTAATCTAGTAATATATAATACAAAAGTTAACCTGTAAAGGTTTTGGAATACATAGCTTATGTAAATACAAAAGTTATTTTAATTCACCAAGTGAAACCAAACGAAGCAATCAATAGATACTTAAATGGAATCAAACTATCGATGGCTTAAGCTTTGTTGAATTTAGTTGAACTAAAAGAGTTTTAAATGAAACTGCAAAATTTATAAAGTTAATTCATATGACAAACTAATAAAAAATCATCAATCATTTTGAAATCCACAGTTAATTCATATGATAAAATATCTCAGTGAAGGAATTAATAAAAAATCACACTGAAAAAAAAATCACACATATGACAAACTAATAACCCAACACTCATTTTCCACCACCAAAATGAGTTGTGTTTCCAAGAATGTATTTATTAAAATTAACAAATAACAAAAGATTTGCAATAAATTCACAGTTTGAAAATAATAATTTGATTCCAAACATTTTCAGGTATTGGTAACACAATCTGAATCCAAACAACATAAAAAAAAAATAGTAATGAATCTTACTATTTTTCTTACAAATTAATAAATATTAAAATTGTTCAATAGGCCACGTCATCCCAACTTGGCAAAAGGTGCAAATGAGTAGAAACAAGTATAATAGTAAAGCCAACAAATATATATTGTTGCACCTGAAGTGGACAAACTCAATCTTACAATTTCAGAAGCTATGAAATTATCCTCTGTAATTTAATAAAGTCAAACTCAACCACGCTAATCTCACAATTTCAGAAGCTATGAAATTATCCTCTATTTTTTTCAATAATTAAACACCCAGAAAATCCAAAAACCTGCACAGTAAGGACCAAAAAAAGTCAAAAAACCGGCATATTTGACTACCAAAGCCTATTGAAAGTTTATTTAGCAAAGTTGAGAGCTACATCCACTAAACAGCAAGTTATAGATGGTAGAGGATAACTCGGAACTTAAAATTATATTTGAAACACATTATCATTATATTTGAGACCCATTATTCGGAACATATTGAACACATTATATTTGAAACACATTATCATAAAATTAAATCCCACTATATCTCATCACATTTAGACTGTAAATCTATATAAATATAACAAATGACTGGAAATTTTAGAGGTTGATGCAGCCTAGTATTGCCAAAACTTATAATACAAAAGTGAACTTAACTAAATAAATATTAAATACATAGCATATTTTAATTCACCAAGTCAAACCGAACGAAGCAATCAATAGATACTTAACATATCGACGGCTCCTACATTATTGTTAGGAATCAAACATATCGATGGCTTAAGCTCTACTGAATTGTATTGAAGCTCATTCAAAGAATTAATAAAAAAATCACATAGATATGCAGATGCCAAACTAATAACCTACCAATCATTTTCCGCCACCAAATTTTACTAAAATTAAACAATTTATCAAAATGAGTTGTGTTTCCAATGGAAACTATTAATAAAACACATCAATCACTTAGTACTTCGCTTCCAAGAATCTATTTATTAAAATTAACAAATAACAAAAGCTTTGCGCATCTACATAGTTTTAAAATAATAATTTCACTCAAAACATTAAATAAATAAAAAATAAATCAGTCTGTATGAGGACATTTTTTGGGATTAGTAACACAATTTGACTCCAAACAACAGCAAAAGAAAATATTAATGAATGTTACTATTTTTCTTAGCAAATGGTGCAAATGAGTAGACATATATGTATTAGCAAAGGGTGAAAATATATA